GCGGCCATGGCGCCGGCGGGGGTGCACCCACCTGCATGGGCGGCATTCCCTCGGCCATTTCCCCGCGCAGCGCCGGCTCTTGGTGGCAGACCTCCTCCGGGGGCAGAGCCTGCGCCCAACTCCAGCTCCCGCTGTCCAGCCCCAGGCCCTGGATGCCCAGCTGCTGAGGCTGCGGCCGTGTTGACACAAACTGCATCCTGGGAGCGCTGTTCCCCGCTCGGGCCGGCCAGGGAGAAGAAGAACGTTCTCCAGGCGCCTTCCCCCTCGCCGGGGCCGGACAGCTCCATCTACAGCCCGTAGGAGCAAACAGTCCCCTTCGGCGGCGCTCCCCGCCCCTCCGCCGCCCGCGCGCCAGCCAATGGCCTCCGAGCTCCTGCCCGCCTGCGGGGACCAACGGGGCCGCTCCGGGGCCAGGGGGCCACCGCCGCCCCCAAAGTGACCCTGCGCGGGTATGCATCTCATACCTGCCTGTCCTAGAGTCCCCAACAAGGCAGGCGGGCCCTGGGGCTGGATTTCTGTTAATTCGGCTAATATTTATTGGGCATCCCATCCCAAAGGACCTGACCCTTTTGAAAAATGGGCAGTTGTCTCCAGACTCTTTGTTCTGGCCTTTCCTCTTGCCTCGCTCCTTTGCAGCCTTCACCTCCCCACTGTCCCGCTTCTCAATCCAAATTTACCTGCATCAACTCCAGGCCCTTTGCATTGGCCTTGGTGACAGAGAAGTGACCTGGTCTGTGTCAGAAGAGGGCCACACTCTTCCTCCCAGGTAAGGTGCACTCACTGCATTTTAACAGCAGCCTCTTCCAGAACCTTTAAATGTAAGTCAACATCACTTTGAAACGTCAGGCCAAGTCAGAGGAGGAGCGGGGGAGAGGACAAGATAGGCTGATGGAGAAGAAATGGGAAGGGGAAAACTCATTCCACAAATATTTACTGAGCACCTACTATGTGCCAGCTGCTGCTTGGGCAGCGGGTGGGCTTTGCAGTTTGATATACCTGAGTTTAAATTCCAAAATCACCACTCATTAGCTGTAACTGTGAGCAATTTCACTTCTCTGAGCTTCACTTGGTCTCTTCATATATAAATGAAGAAAATAATGTCTATTCCACAGTTACAAATCAAATGAGAACAGTGCTTATAGGCACTCAACAAAGGTAATTACCTCCAAAAGGTAAGTCCTTGTAATTATCCTCAAAATAGTGTCTACTCTGTCTTCCTAAATGACTAGTCCCTATTTGTTAAGACAGAGATCTCCAAGGCTGATTATGGCCCTGTGTAGAGGCAGACCTTCCAGAGAGACACCCCAGACTAGTACTCTTTTGTTCCACTGCATTTAGTATATGAAAGGGCATTATTGGTCCAAGTGAGACATGCACCGTACTCAGAAGGACAGTTATCAAGTACTTTCTCTGCTAGGCATACTTCCAGGATAAAGAATGAGTATCTCACAGACTTAATACTATTCTCAAGGAGCTTACACGTTAGCAAAGGTTATGTTCCCAGAAGTCAGTGATTTTCTTCCCTCTGTTCCTTGGCCATAGGCTGCCCCCAATTGTAAATATCATGTCACTATTATTAGAGGAAACTGGCAAGTAAAAGCTCCGAAAAGCTCCAAGTAAACTCATTTCCACCAATGAGACATTTCGGAGCACACATTCTGACCTATACATCATTAACATCTTCCCTCGTTCCTAGAGGTGGAAGGTAAGCTAGGTTAGTCCCAAGGGTTTAAGTTATCTTTTCAATATAAAGTAGTTAAAATTACTTCCCTTCCTAAGCATTAAACTACTTATAACTATTTCTCTTTTTACGCAATAAGATACCACACAGTATATCCACTTTACGTTTCTCCTTCACAGAGGGTGAATTTTGCACACACAGAGCCACCGTACTTTCACCCCTGGCAGCCAGAGTTCAGTTCACTGTCATGAGGTCTGAGCAAAGCTACTCAACTCAAACAGGATTTAAATGCACAGGCTTCGTGGTACTAGCATTATCTTATAACTGCCAACCCTAGCCACCACAGGTCACAGAAACCAGTAGTGGATACAGCAGATGCATGGTGAATGGGGGGATTGGGGGACACTTCCCAGAAGGAAAACAAGAAGGGCACGAGGAGGGGGCTGCTGTCCATGGACCATGGACTCCAGTGACCAATGGGCTGATGGGGCTGAGAGATGCGAGGGTGGGAGAGACCCTCACTGGGAGAGGTGTCCAGTCCTCAGACTTCTTTCTGTGAGTTACTGAGTAACTATGAGGCAGTTATCTAACTTTCTGAGGAGCAGAGTGAGCAACTGGATGAAGTGGATTCTACATGTCAAGTATCATTGTTAATAAACATTTCTTGTAGGGGAAGGACCCGGGGCTGGGCCCTCAGTCTCTCAGGTGGGAATGGGCTGCTTCTCATCTCCTCACCTAGGAATTAGATAGCTTCTGCTCAGGACAGGGTATTGGACTAAAGGATATAGGAGAGGCCAAAGGAGAGGGCACTCAGAAATGCCAGAACATTTATGTGTTGTGATGGTTGATTTTATGCATGAACTTGACTGAGCCAAGAGATGCCCAGAGAGCTGGGAAAATGTTATTTCTGGGTGTCTGTGAGGGCGTTTCCAGAAGAAATTAGCATTTAATCCAAGACTGATCAGAGAAGATGCCCTCACCAGTGTGGATGGGCATCATCCAATCCACTGAGGGCCAGAGTAGAACAAAAGAGCAGAGGGAGAGCAAATTTGCTCCTCCTTTGAGCTGTCACAGCCATCGCCTTCTGCCCTTGGACATCGGTGCTCCTGGTTTTGGGGCTTTGGACTCGGAATGAATTACACCACTGCTTTCCTGGTTTTCCAGCCTGCAGCTGGCAGATCATAGGACTTCTTGGCCTCCATAATTGCATGAGTTAATTCCTCTGATAAATCTCCTCTTATATATCTCTATATATCCTTTTGGTTCTGTTTCTCTGGGGAGTGCTAACACACGTGTCTGCCACTCCCTAATTCCTGGTGTTCCCTGTGCACTCCGTGTCCTTTCAACAACTACAAGCTTTATTTGAGGAAGAAACCCTCTAGACTCACGCTTAGCTAAGTGATCTGCACTTCTACCTCAGTGTTGCTCCTTGCTTAGTTTAGAAAGCAGGCTTAAGGACTGCAATGTAATCCTCAAGCTCTCCTCACCCACTGACATGTCCATGGTTACAACTTCCTATCTTCACTTTAGGATGCTTTATGCCAACCTCCAAGGAAGGATAACACCTTAGGTTTCAGAGTCATTGACATCCTAAGTATAACTAAAAACCAGAGGCAAGACTGTGTGAAGGGGAGGGTCGCTGGGGGTAGGGTGATAAAGCTCCAGGACTACTTAGAAGAGGCAGAAAGTGTTAATGTGGGGAACACAGTCAGATATTTTGTATTATACAGTTTTAAGGTCAATTTGCTCTTGCTAATGAGCTTTCAATATCCTTGCCTTTTTCAGAGCCACCTTCTGCCAACATTTTAATTCAAACTTAATTGCCCAAACACACACACACACACACACACACACACACACACACACACACACACAAGGGTTTTTTTTCCCTCTCTCCCTCTCCCTCTCTTTCTCAGTGACTTCTGAAAATTTCTGCTTTATACCTATGCAAAGTTTGGAGAAAATACTACTTTTTCCCTCTTTTTTTTCTGTTTTTTTTTTTTTTTTTTTTTTTTTGGGGAACATGGGCCTCTCACTGTTGTGGCCTCTCCCCTTGCAGAGCACAGGATCCGGACGCGCACAGGCTCCGCGGCCATGGCTCACGGGCCCAGACGCTCCACGGCATGTGGGATCCTCCCAGACCGGGGCACGAACCCGTGTCCCCTGCATCGGCAGGCGGACTCTCAACCACTGCGCCACCAGGGAAGCCCCCTCTTGAATTTATTCTCAGCCCACTTCAAATAGGCATTCCATCACTTTCTTTGCAAGTCTCGACACAGTAGATGAGTGAAGTTCTCTTCAGTTCTTCATGACTCTATGGCACTTTCCTTGATATGTGACGGCTTGGTGACTGAGTAAGCTACTCGACAGTCCTAAACACAGGCACCAGGGCTCAGAAATCCTTTATGCAGAAGACATGTTTTATGTTGGTGATAACTGCAGTACATCCTCTCGAATCTTCTCAGTGGGCAACCCTTCAACATTTAAGTGTGGGGTGACTATATATATATTTTTTGTTTTGTTTGTTTGTTTTGGGGTTTTCTTTCGTTTGTTTGATGTGGACCATTTTTAAAGTCTTTACTGAATTTGTTACAATACTGTTTCTGCTTTATGTTTTGGTTTTTGGCCGCGAGGAATGTGGGATCTTAGCTCCCCGACCAGGGATCGAACCCGCATGCCCTGCATTGGAAGGCGAAGTCTTAACCACTGGACCGCCAGGGAAGTCCCTGGGCTGATTATTAAAAATGGTCAAAATTCATTCAAAATAGTCTAGTGCTCATGCAGAATAATACTGGTTTTTCTAAAAGCAACAAATAAGGTATTAGAACCGTGTATTATTGTTAAATCTGAGCTGGTAATGACGTCACCACAGTCCCTTTCGGTTCTTCAGCAAACTGCTCTTACACAGAGGTGCTGGCCTCACCACGATGGAGGTTAGGGAGGACGGCGGTGCAGGCACTGGTACTGTTCCCACCTGTGCTCGTGCAGCATCCTGTCCATACCAGATCTCTGTACAGAGCCTGCAGTGGGCACAGCTGAAATGAATGCTGCCTCTGGAGCTCCTAACTTAACTAGTGAGATCGGTCAGAACTTTTTCAACCACCATTCCCATAGCCTTATTTCCTTCCGAGTCCTGCCTCTAGAATCAAATTATGACTTCCTATTGTGGATTCAAAAATCCTTTTTTTCATGTTCAATCCACAGCTCCCTGTTCTGGGAAAGCAGGCTAACTGGTCATTTCCAGTCCAATAATTCACTTTCTCTTTCTATGATCTTCTAAACTTGCAGGCACTTTAGAATCACTTGGGGGAACTTTAAAAAACAAAACATCAAAAAAAACCCCAAAAATCATCTGGGCTTCCCTGGTGGCGCAGTGGTTGAGAGTCCGCCTGCCGATGCAGGGGACGTGGGTTCGTGCCCCGGTCTGGGAAGATCCCATATGCCGCGGAGGGGCTGGGCCCGTGAGCCATGGCTGCTGGGCCTGCACGTCCGGAGCCTGTGCTCCGCAACGGGAGAGGCCACAACAGTGACAGGCCCGCGTACCGCAAAAAAAAAAAAAAAAAAAAAAAAAAAAAAAAAAAAAAACATCTAGGCCCCATCCCAGATGAATCAAATCATGCCAGGGTGAGCCCTGA